TACATACATGGTGAGGGACTTTTGATCTAGGGAATTGGATCTGTGTTCCAGTACCCTAAATTAAGCCTGAATACCTTCCATCCCCTTCCCCCCACAAGCGCTTCCCCATTACAATAATAATGATAATAATAATAAGAAGAACAAGAAGAATTATTATTTCCCAGTAAAAGTGGGCCTTAGACAAGGATGTGTGATGTCACTGGTTATTCAATATATTTATAGATGGCATTGTAAGAGAAGTGAATGTGAGGGTCTTGGCAAGAGGTGTGGAGTTAAAAGATAAAGAATCAAACACAAAGTGGGAGTTGTCACAGTTGTTTTTTGCTGATGACACTGTGCTTTTGGGAGATTCGGAAGAGAAGTTGCAGAGGTTGGTGGATGTATTGGTGGGTATGTAAAAGAAGAAAGTTAAAAATGAATATAGGAAAGAGTAAGGTTATGAGGATAAAAAGATTAGGTGACAAAAGATTGGGTACCAGATTGGAGGGAGAGAGCATGGAGGAGGTGAATGTATTCAGATATTTGGGAGTGGAAGTGTCAGCAGATGGGTCTATGAAAGATGAGGTGAATCATAGAATTGATGAGGGGAGGAGGGTGAGCTGTGCACTTAGGAGTCTGTGGAGACAAAGAACTTTGTCCTTGGAAGCAAAGAGGGGAATGTATGAGAGTATAGTTTTACCAAAACTCTTATATGGGTGTGAAGCATGGGTTATGAATGTTGCAGTGAGGAGAAGGCTGGAGGCAGTGGAGATGTCATGTCTGAGGGCAATATGTGGTGTGAATATAATGCAGAGAATTCGTAGTTTGGAAGTTAGGAGGAGGTATGGGATTGCCAAAACTGTTGTCCAGAGGGCTGAGGAAGGGTTGTTGAGGTGGTTCGGACATGTAGAGAGAATGGAACAAAGCAGAATGACTTCAAGAGTGTATAAATCTGTAGTGGAGGGAAGGTTGGGTAGGGGTCGGTTTAGGAAAGGTTGGAGGGAGGGGGTAAAGGAGGTTTTGGGCTTGGACTTCCAGCAAGCATGTGTGAGCATATTTGATAGGAGTGAATGGAGACAAATGGTTTCTTGACGTGCTGTTGGAGTGTGAGCAAAGTAACATTTACTAAGGGATTCAGGGAAACCAGCAGGCCGGACTTGAGTCCTGGAGATGGGAAGTACAGCATCTGCACTCTGAAGGAGGGGAGTTAATGTTGCAGTTTTATAAACTGTAGTGTAAAGCACCCTTCTAGCAAGACAGTGATGGAGTGAATGATGAAAGTTTTTCTTTTTTGGGCCACCCTGCCTTGATGGGAATTGGCTGATGTGTTAATAAAATAATATAATAATAATATAATATGTATAATAATATGAATAATAATAATATAATATAGTCCTTTTATATAAAGGGAAGGGGGACAAAAGAGATTGTAAAAATTAATAGAGGAATAAGTTTACCGAGTTATAGGTAGTAGGTTGGTAGACAGCAACCGTCCAGGGAGGTACTACCGTCCAGCCAAGTGAGTGTAAAACAGAAGCCTGTAATTGTTTTACATGATGGTAGGATTGCTGGTGTCTTTTTTTTTTTTCTGTCTCATGAACATGCAAGGTTTCAGGTACGTCTTGCTACTTCTACTTAAACTTAGGTCACACTACACATAAGTGTACAAGCATATAGTATATACACACCCCTGTGGATTTTCTTCTATTTTCTTACTAGTTCTTGTTTGTGTTTATTTCCTCTTACCTCCATGGGAAAGTGGAACAGAATTCTTCCTCCGTAAGCCATACGTGTTGTAAGAGGCGACTAAAATGCCAGGAACAAGGGGTATCTAACCCCTTCTCCTGTATGTATTACTAAATGTAAAAGGAGAAACTTTTGTTTTTCCTTTTGGGCCACCCCGCCTCGGTGGGATACGGCCAGTGTGTTGAAAGAAAGAAGTAGTTTACTGAGTATACCAGGAAAAGTGTACAGTAGGGTTCTTATTGAAAGAATTAGAGGTAAGACATAATGTAGGATTGCAGATGAGCAAGGAGGTTTTAGAGTGAGTAGTTGATGTAGTATATGTGAGCAGTATTTAGATAAAGGTAGGGAAGTTTTTTTTGCATTTATGGATATAGAAAAGGCATATGATAGAGTGGATAGGGGAGCAATGTGGCAGATGTTGCAAGTATATGGAACAGGTGGTAAGTTACTAAATGCTGTAAAGAGTTTTTATGAGGATAGTGAGGCTCAGGTTAGGTTATGTAGAAGAGAGGGAGACTACTTCCCGGTAAAAGTAGGTCTTAGACAGGGATGTGTAATGTCATCATGGTTGTTTAATATATTTATGGATGGGGTTGTAAAAGAAGTAAATGCTAGGGTTTTCGGGAGAGGGATGGGATTAAATTATGGGGAATTAAATACAAAATGGGAATTGACACAGTTACTTTATGCTGATGATACTGTGCTTATGGGAGATCCTAAAGAAAAATTGCAAAGGTTAGTGGACGAGTTTGGGAGTGTGTGTAAAGGTAGAAAGTTGAAAGTGAACATAGAAGGGTAGATGAGGGTATCAAATGATTTAAATAAAGAAAAATTGGGTATCAAATTGGGGAGGAGGAGAATGGAAGAAGTGAATATTTTCAGATATTTGGGAGTTGACATGTCAGCAGATGGATTTTTGAAGGATGAGGTTAATCATAGAGTTAATGAAGGAAAAAGGTGAGTGGTGCATTGAGGTATATGTGGAGACAAAAAAATGTTACCTATGGAGGCAAAGAAAGGAATGTATGAAAGTATGGTAGTACCAACACTCTTATATGGATGTGAAGCTTGGGTTGTAAATGCTGCCGTGAGGAGGCAGTTGGAGGCAGTGGAGATGTCCTGTCTAAGGGCAGTGTGTGGTGTAAATATTGTGCAGAAAATTCGGAATGTGGAAATTAGGAGAAGGTGTGGAGTTAATAAAAGTATTAGAGGGCTGAAGAGGGGTTGTTGAGGTGGTTTGGTCATTTAGAGAGAATGGATCAAAGTAGAATGACATGGAGAGCGTATAAATCTGTTGGGGAAGGAAGGCGGGGTAGGGGTTGTCCTCGCAAAGGTTGGAGGGAGGGAGTAAAGGAGGTTTTGTGGGCGAGGGGCTTGGACTTCCATCAAGTGTGCATGAGCGTGTTAAATAGGAGTGAATGGAGACGAATGGTATTTGGGACCTGATGAGCTGTTGGAGTGTGAGCAGGGTAATATTTAGTGAAGGGATTCAGGGAAACCGGTTATTTTTATATAGCCGGACTTGAGTCCTGGAAATGGTGAAGTACAATGCCTGCACTTTAAGGGAGGGATTTGGGATATTGGCAGTTTGGAGGGAGATGTTGTGTATCTTTATACGTATATGCTTCTAAACTTGTATTCTGAGCACCTCTGCAAAAACAGTGATTATGTGTGAGTGAGGTGAAAGTGTTGAATGATGATGAAAGTATTTTCTTTTTGGGGATTTTCTTTCTTTTTGCGTCACCCTGCCTTGGTGGGAGTCAGTCGACTTGTTAAAAAAAAATATAATAATAATGTACTATAATAATAATTATAATAAAAAAACGGTTTTGAAAGGCCGTCACTGGATGGCAGTGAATACCACAACAATGCGGGAGCGGTTATGGCCACTGCCACTTGTCACATATATCAGGTTTCTATGTTATTTGTATTGTTTATTATGTCACATTAGATCAATTGTGATAGATAAATAAGCCATAGAGTTGATATTAGCATTATATTGAAGTGTATTTTTCCTGCCTCTGAGAGCAGAAATTCCGCCAGAATGGATTAATGGCTTTTCAATTAATTTAAATGAGGAAAATTGACTCAGCATATGAACAAATTAGGATACGAACAAAGTCATGGAATGGATTAAGTTCGTAAGCTGAGGTTCCAATGTATAATAATAATAGTAATAATACTACATACACTGTATAATAATAATATCATAATAATACTATAGTAATAATTATAGATTGCTGCCACTAGATAGTACAGAGAATACCACAACAATGCTCACCATCACCAGTGCATGTTCTTGCCTCACCGTGGAAGGATTTCTCGTGTGTTTTGCTTATGTTTTGTGCAGTTATTTTGCCAAATTTCTTTTTTCTAACCATGGGTCCTAAGAAAGTAAGTGCAAAGGAGAGTGCCGAGAAGAAAAAGAGGATGATGTCCATGGAAGTAAAGCATGGAATCATACATAAACACCAGTGAGGTGTGCGGGTTGTGGACTTGGCCAGTATTTTGTCCTGCCTCGTGAGAGCAGGAGTTCTGCTGGAACAGATTAATGGCATTTCAGTTAATTTAAATGAGGAAAATTGACTCAGCATACGAGCAGATTGGGTTATGAGCTAGGTCACGAAACGGATTAAACTCGTAAGCAGAGGTTCCACTGTAGTATATGAAATGCATGTACAGCTCACATTACCTCCCACTCTTTCCTCTCTAACACTGTTTCCTCTGCTAAGTGAAGTTACTGCACATGTATGTTGCACTCCATTCTCCTTGTTTGTGTTCTCTTAGACATTTTCTTACATATTAAAGGTTTAAAATAAAAAAAAATACATAGCATTATTAGAGAACAGTGTTTACCATTCAAATGGACTTAATACCTACCTTTGATAGATGGATGTCTGTTTAGAAGTAACCCCTCAAGGGAGGTTCCTTTCCTTGATTCTGGTGAGAGGCTCTTGATTCAGGGAATTGGGATTGTTCTCTATTTCAGTGGATCATACCCAATTGCTTCTTTTCCGTGTGCTATATGACCCCTGTGAGTTAAGTGTTTTTCCCTAAATAAAATAAAAAATGTATTACAAGTAAGTAATGTTACATGCAGTTTTTGAACTGTAGTGTCGGCACACTTCTGGCAAGACAGTGATGGGGTGAGTGATGATGAAATTGTTTCTTCATTTTTTGGGGCCACCATGACTTGGTGGGAACAGCCGATGTGTTAAAAAAAAAAAAATAAAAATTGCAATTATTTGCTTCAGTATCTTAAATCCATATTGCAGGGAGGTAAGGAGTACTTAATGCGGGCCCACTTTGGATTACCCAGTGTAGAAGGTGAAGATGTGGAGGGCAAGCCTCCCATTCAGGTGCGCTTTGAAATACCCTACTTCACTACTTCAGGAATCCAAGTGAGTATAATGCATCTTTGTTTTACTCTGTCAATATCTTTGATGCTTTATTCACTCTTGAAACTCCCTAGTCTTGAAGGATGACTTCATTCAAAGTATTCCTCTGAAATTTAAATTAATCATGTTATGTAAAATGACTCTTGAAGAAGAATCTTAGATATTTGTCCGAGGAATTCTAGGTGCTTGATTGTCTGTTAGGGGTAAAATGGTTGCAGCTTTCACAAAGAAACCTATACCACAGGCGGGGATAGAACCCGCGATCAGAGAGTCTCAAACCTCCAGACCGTTGCGTTAGCCACTGAACGAGAGTGGAGCAAAGAGGAGGAGAAGGACTGCCTTCATCAGTCATTGAGTGAGAACATAAAAGGGCATGATACTAAAAGGTAAAAAAAAATTGTAAAAGAGTACCATGAATGGGAAAGCAAAATTTATTAAGAGATTGAAGTGGAGAGCAAGAAACAAGTGACTGTACAGTACACTTTTTCATTAACAGACCTCCCATTAATGGACTTTGGCAATTTCAGACAAAAAAATTCGCTCAACAAGTGCTTTATCAGACAAAATAGACAAAAGTCCGTAATTCCAAATTTTGTCTATTGTCGTGTTTTTATTAATGATGACATATAAGTATTTTTTCTAGGTAGTAGGTTGGTAGACAGCAACTACCCAGAGAGGTACTACCGTCCTGCCAAGTGAGTGTAAAATGGAAGCCTGTAATTGTTTTACATGATGGTAGGATTGCTGGTGTCTTTTTATTCTACGTCTTGTTACTTCTACTTACACTTAGGTCACACTACACATACATGTACAAACATATATATACACACCCCTCTGGGTTTTCTTCTACAGTGGACCCTCAGTTCACGATATTAATTCGTTCCCGAGAGCTCATCATAAACCAAAATTATTGGAAAGCGAATCAATTTTCCCCATAAGAAATAATGGAAATCAAATTAATCCGTGCAAGACACCCAAAGGTATGAAAATTTTTTTTTTTACCACATGAAATATTAATTTTAATACACACAAACTGAAGAAGACATGCACAGTTACATGACACTTACCTTTATTGAAGATCTGGTGATGATTGATGGGATGGGAGGAGGGGAAGAGTGTGGATGGTCTTAGTGTTTAGAAGGGGAATCCCCTTCCATTAGGACTTGAGGTGTCAAGTCCTTTTCCAGGGTTACTTCCCTTCTTCTTTTAATGCCACTAGGACCAGCTTGAGAGTCACTGGACTTGTCGCACAACATATCTGTCCATAGAGGCCTGTACCTCTCGTTTCTTTATGACTTTCCTAAAGTGTTTCACAACATTGTCAGTGTAATAATCACCAGCACAGCTTGCAATAGCTGTGTGAGGGTGATTTTCATCCATAAAGGTTTGCACTTCAAGCCACTTTGCACATATTTCCTTAATCTTTGAAGTAGGCAACTTCTTCAATTTCTCTCTCCCCTCCTCCGAAGCAGTTTCCTCAGGTGTGGCCTCTTGCTGTTGAAGATGATCTAGCAGCTCATCAGTGGTTAGTTCTTCATTGTCCTCCTGCACCAACTCTTCTACATCCTCCTCACTAACCTCCAACCCCAAGGACTTCCCCAATGCCACAATGGATTCCTCAACTGGCATAGGCTTCTCAGGGTTAGCCTCAAACCCTTCGAAATCCTTTTTGTCTACACATTCTGGCCACAGTTTTTTCCAGGCAGAGTTCAAGGTCCTCTTAGTCACTCCCTCTCAAGCCTTACCTATAAGGTTTACACAATTGAGGATATTAAAGTGATCCTTCCAAAACTCTTTTAGAGTCAATAGAGTTTCTGTGGTCACTTCAAAGCACCTTTCAAACATAGCTTTTGTGTACAGTTTCTTGAAGTTGGAAATGACCTGCTGGTCCATGGGCTACAGGAGAGGGGTGGTATTAGGAGGCAAAAACTTGAACTTAATGAAACTCATGTCCCCAGAAAGTCTCTCTGCCAAGTCTGTAGGATGACCAGGGGCATTGTCTAATACCAGGAGGCACTTAAGGTTTAATTTCTTTTCAATTAGGTAATTTTTCACATTGGGGGCAAATGCATGGTGTAACCAGTCATAGAAAAAGTCCCTAGTGACCCATGCCTTACTGTATGCCCTCCACAGCACACACAAATTAGCCTTGAGGATATTCTTTTGCCTGAACGCTCTGTGAGTTTCTGAGTGATACACCAATAAAGGCTTCACTTTGCAATCACCACTAGCATTGGCACACATGAGAAGAGTAAGCCTGTCTTTCATAGGCTTATGTCCTGGGAGTGCCTTTTCCTCCTGAGTAATGTAGGTCCTGCTTGGCAATTTCTTCCAAAACAGGCCTGTTTCATCACAATTAAACACTTGTTCAGGTTTCAATCCTTCAGCCTCTATGTACTCCTTGAATTCATGCACATATTTTTCAGCTGCTTTGTGGTCTGAACTGGCAGCCTCACCATGCCTAATCACACTATGTATGCCACTACGATTCTTAAATCTTTCAAACCAACCTTTGCTGGCCTTAAATTCACTCACATCACCACTAGTTGCAGGCAATTTTTTTACCAAATAGTCATGCAACTGCCTAGCCTTTTCACAAATGATCACTTGAGAGATGCTATCTCCTGCTATATGTTTTTCATTTATCCACACCAATAACAGTCTCTCAACATTTTCTAACACTTGTGGTCGCTGTTTCGTAATCACAGTTGCGCCTTTTGCAAGAACAGCTTCCTTGATTGCCATTTTCCTGCTCACTATAGTAGAGATGGTTGATTGGGGTTTACTATGCAACCTGACCAGCTCCGACACACGCACTCCACTTTCGTACTTTGCAATTATCTCTTTCTTCATTTCAACAGTCATTAGCACCTTTGGTCTTGAAGGGTTGGCACTAGGAGCTTTCTTGGGGCCCATGGTGACTTATTTTGCAGAAACAAGCACCAAAAGCAGTGATAATATGGATAATATGGAATGTACCGAATGTATCCTTAGATGCGCGCACACTGGCTGGCTTGTAAACACTGGCACACACGGGGCAGTTCAGGCCACATGTGGACACGTCTCGTACGAACCACATCGCATACCGGGTTTTGTAACGGGAACCGAGGCAAATTCTCTGCGATATAATGCATCGGTTACCGGATTTATCGGATACCGATAGCATCGCGAACCGGGGGTCCACTGTATTTTCTTTCTAGTTCTTGATTAAAGTAAAGGTTGGATGCGAAAAGTGGGTCATAATAAGCGTGTATGCACCTGGAGAAGAGAGGAATGTAGAGGGGAGAGAGAGATTTTGGGAGATGTTAAGTGAATGTATAGGAGCCTTTGAACCAAGTGAGAGAGTAATTGTGGTAGGGGATCTGAATGCTAAAGTAGGAGAAACTTTTAGAGAGGGTGTGGTAGGTAAGTTTGGGGTGCCAGGTGTAAATGATAATGGGAGCCCTTTGATTGAACTTTGTATAGAAAGGGGTTTAGTTATAGGTAATACATATTTTAAGAAAAAGAGGATAAATAAGTATACAAGATATGATGTAGGGCGTAATGACAGTAGTTTGTTGGATTATATATTGGTGGATAAAAGACTGTTGAGTAGACTTCAGGATGTACATGTTTATAGAGGGGCCACAGATATATCAGATCACTTTCTAGTTGTAGCTACACTGAGAGTAAAAGGTAGATGGGATACAAGGAGAATAGAAGCATCAGGGAAGAGAGAGGTGAAGGTTTATAAACTAAAAGAGGAGGCAGTTAGGGTAAGATATAAACAGCTATTGGAGGATAGATGGGCTAATGAGAACATAGGAAACGGGGTCGAAGAGGTATGGGGTAGGTTTAAAAATGTAGTGTTAGAGTGTTCAGCAGAAGTTTGTGGTTACAGGAAAGTGGGTGCGGGAGGGAAGAGAAGCGATTGGTGGAATGATGATGTAAAGAGAGTAGTAAGGGAGAAAAAGTTAGCATATGAGAAGTTTTTACAAAGTAGAAGTGATGCAAGGAGGGAAGAGTATATGGAGAAAAAGAGAGAGGTTAAGAGAATGGTGAAGCAATGTAAAAAGAGAGCAAATGAGAGAGTGGGTGAGATGTTATCAACAAATTTTGTTGAAAATAAGACAAAGTTTTGGAGTGAGATTAACAAGTTAAGGAAGCCTAGAGAACAAATGGATTTGTCAGTTAAAAATAGGAGAGGAGAGTTATTAAATGGAGAGTTAGAGGTATTGGGAAGATGGAGGGAATATTTTGAGAAATTGTTAAATGTTGACGAAGATAGGGAAGCTGTGATTTCGTGTATAGGGCAAGGAGGAATAACATCTTGTAGGAGTGAGGAAGAGCCAGTTGTGAGTGTGGGGGAAGTTCGTGAGGCAGTAGGTAAAATGAAAGGGGGTAAGGCAGCCGGGATTGATGGGATAAAGATAGAAATGTTAAAAGCAGGTGGGGATATAGTTTTGGAGTGGTTGGTGCAATTATTTAATAAATGTATGGAAGAGGGTAAGGTACCTAGGGATTGGCAGAGAGCATGCATAGTTCCTTTGTATAAAGGCAAAGGGGACAAAAGAGAGTGCAAAAAAATTATAGGGGGATAAGTCTGTTGAGTATACCTGGTAAAGTGTATGGTAGAGTTATGATTGAAAGAATTAAGAGTAAGACGGAGAATAGGATAGCAGATGAACAAGGAGGCTTTAGGAAAGGTAGGGGGTGTGTGGACCAGGTGTTTACAGTGAAACATATAAGTGAACAGTATTTAGATAAGGCTAAAGAGGTCTTTGTGGCATTTATGGATTTGGAAAAGGCGTGTGACAGGGTGGATAGGGGGGCAATGTGGCAGATGTTGCAGGTATATGGTGTAGGAGGTAGGTTACTGAAAGCAGTGAAGAGCTTTTACGAGGATAGTGAGGCTCAAGTTAGAGTATGTAGGAAAGAGGGAAATTATTTCCCAGTAAAAGTAGGCCTTAGACAAGGATGTGCGATGTCACCATGGTTGTTTAATATATTTATAGATGGGGTTG